CTGATGATACAACTTTGCTTGCTGAAAGTGAGGATGACTTGAGGCACTTACTGATGAAGACTGAGGAACACAGTCTGCAGTATGGATTATATCTCATTATAATGAAGACAAAAATCCTCACAATTGGACCAATAAACAGCATCACAATAAATGGAGAAAAGATTGTGGTTGTCAAAGAATTCACGTTACTTGGTTCTACAAACAAGGCTAATGGAAGCAGCAGTCAGGACATTAGATGACATGTACCACTGGGCAGGTTGGCTGCAAAGGAACTCTTTCAAGTGCTGAGGAGCAAGGACGTCTCCTTGAGAACTAAGGTGCACCTGACATAGGCCATGATATTTCCAATCACCTCGTATGCATGTGAGAGCTGGAAAATGAATAAGGAAGACTGAGGAAGAGTTGATGCTTTTGAGTTGTGGTGCTGGAGAAGAATGCTGAAGGTACCATGGACTGCCAAAAGAGCTAACATATCTCTCCTGGAGGAAGCGCAGCCAGAATGCTCCTTAGAAGAGAGAATAGCCATGCTTCATCTCACCTACTTTGGTCATGTTGTCAGAAGGGACCGTTATCTGGAGAAGGATATCATACTTGGTAAAGCAGAGGAGCAATGAAAAAGGAGAAAGCCCTCAATAAGATGGACTGACACAGTGGCTGCAACAATGGGCTCAGATAGAGCAAGCATTGTGAGGCCAACAGAGCACTGGACAGTATTTTGTTCTGTTGTACATAGGGTTGCTGTAAGTTGGAGGTAATGTCACCTAATAACAACAAAAAAATGATGAGGCCTTTATATCTAATCATTGTGAAATTTCTTATATCTCTTAATCCTTCAGATAGTCTTATATAGTAAGCTTGCTTTCCTTGATGATATGTCACAGTGGGTTTTTGAAGGGGCAAAGTATTTCTGGTTCCTTGAATAGGAAGAATAGAGAAGTTTTAGAATTCTACATGGAGAAACTGAGATTTATTGGCCATAAATGTATTATATATGTATTGTGTGTGAGTGTGTGTGTGTGTGTGTGTGTGTAGTAGAGATACAGAGAAACAGAAAGGAAATAAACAAATTTAATTAGCATAGCTGCTAATTTGTTCATTGTAGCTATTGCCTTTCCTCTGCAGCTGGAAGGAGTATGGTCAATGTGGGTGACTTTGTACCAATTCTAATTGTTTCACTTTGGTTTGATTCCTTGCTAAAAGGATAATTGTTTCTCTTATAATTTTTGTTTTTTCTAAATTTCTTAACAAGCAATGTGGTCCATGCATGCACCCTTTACCTAATTAAATCATTAAAATATATTTTAAAAATCTTCTATAAGCCACAAATTTTATAGACTAAATAAACTCTAAAGAACCATCCAGGGCTTACAGAATTAAAAATATATATGGGGGGGGGGGAGGCAAAAAAACTTTAAGTGAAATATCTTACCATCCTAAAATTTTCAAGTGTTCAGACAAAGTCTATTTGTATTTATATCTTCCTTCCAAACAGCATTTATTGGACAGAGACTTTGCCAGACCCTTGGACTATGCTCTAGGCATTGAGGAGATAAGATTGAAAAAATTAACAAAGCCATCACTTTTACCTGCTGTTCTGGTGGGGAAAGAAAGAGAATATCAACTAAATATCAAGAAAATAAGGAGTTAACTGTTCCATAATGAAAATTAAATCAAATGAGTCAATGTGAGATAGAGTAATTGAGAATTTACTTTAGATGGAGTTGTTTGGGAAGGTTAACTCAAGAGGTGCTATTTGTGGTGAGAACTGAATGACAAGAAGGAGCCAGTTATGCCCAAATTGAGGAAAAGAGAATTATGGCAGGGAAAATAAGTAAGGTAAGGATCCCAAGGTGCATTTGAGTCTAGCTTGTGCCAGGGACAGAGAGAAGACAAGTGGGCTAGAGTACAATGCAGGAGGGGAGAAGTGAGTGCAAGAAAATTTGAACTTGTGGAGCTTCAGGTCCCTATTAGACATCCAAGAGGTAGTGTCAAATAGCCAAATGCTGCACAAACTTTAATGCACAGATGAATTATGGGAAGAGATGTCTGGGGTGGAGTCCAAGATTCTGCATTTCTCACAAGCTCCCAGGTCACGCTGACACTGGTAGTCGTGGACCATATTTTGAGTAGTGAGGATGTGAGCAATTAACTTTTAGGTCAGCTCTACTCAAGCACAAAACCTGTATCTTCTAGTCAATAAATATAATGTGAAAATGATCCTTGGTATTTACAGCAATTCTTCACTTGCCTTGCTATTACTTTAATCAGGTCTCTGGTTGGTTTCCAGCTTTAGTGTTATCTCTGCTTTACAACTATGATAGGGATGCTATTTGTGGCTTATTTATTGAATGGATTTTCTTCATAGATAATCCTGTGACTTTTGTATTTGGAGTAAGTCATTTTGGAGATACAGAATACATAATATACATATATAGACATGAGTAAATATATAAGTAAATGAATAAATAACACATAAAAGGTAATCTGGATTACACCTGAAAGTCTTAGCCAGCAACCATTTATTTGCTTTGTGAACTACATGAATCCAGAATTTAGACCATTTCTGGTTTTCAGAGAACAGTCTTTGGATATAATAGATCAGCAACACATACACATAATAAAATATATTACATATTCTGGGAATACAGAAAGGATATTTTCCTTAAGTGAGATATTTTAAAAGACCATTTTGACTTGTATTTCAACAAAAGTCATAATTGCTTTGCCATTCCTAAGTCTTTTCGCCAAGTGTAAACCTGGCATCTATATATGTGTGCATGGTTGTTTGGGTGGGTCCTGCAGAGATTCCAAGATTTCTTGGTTAGTTGAAATGTAGCTTTGGATGGATTCTGCCTATGGAATTCAAGCAGTTTTATGCAATTATGTGACTTTCTTAAAAAAAAAAAAAAAAAACTGAAAAGAAGTTTTCTTTAACCTAAATGAGGAGTTTAGACTGTTTTGAGTGGAGGAAGGATATTAAATATCTAAGATGCAAGCTGTCTTATAGTAAATGTGATTGGATGGTATCAGAGTATTTCTGCAAATGAATTGGTGGACTGACCTGGATGCCATGTAAATGTGTCTTAGGGTGCACCTGAGATTTCTGACTACTTGCTCTTCCTTCTGAAGAATACATGCTCTTCATTTGCAAATAGCAAATTTTCCCCTATAGCTTTTTCTCTAAGCAGTTTGCATTAATAGATGTTGTCTTAGCAACCCAGTGCTGCTATAACAGAAATATCACAAGTGGGTGGCTTTAAAAAATTTATTTTCTCAGAGTTCAGAAGGCTACAAGTCCAAATTCAGAGCACTGACTTAGAAGAAAGTACTCTTTCTTTCTCTCTACTTAATAATAATAATAATAATTTTCAGCTTTGCTAGTAAAGGGGTTCCTTTATTCCATGGTGATCACTATATGGCATCTATTTTTCCCCCAATTGTGCTTGTGCCTAATCTGCTTTTTTTTTATATCTCAAAAGTAGTTAGCTTTAAGATACATACCCTACACTGATATGCCCTCAGAGCCATAACAAAGAAAACCTTATTCAGAAAAGGGATTATATCCGTAAGTATTAGGATCCCAAGACATAATTCTGGGGGGGGGTCACAATTCAATCCATAACAGATGCTTTTCCAGATATCTCAAAATTAAGAATTCCACAGCTCAGTAAGCTAAAGGAATTGCAAGTCTCCTCAGTAAGTGAGCTCCATGTCCTGCTGTACACCCTTAGAGTGAGTTATTTCTTACTGTGCTACTGCGCAGGGGTGAGTACTTGGTCAAGAGAGATACACAAGGAAGAAGTGTCCAAGGCAGATCTATAATTGCTGTAATGTTGGTTGCTCCCTGCGCTGTCCCCACATCCCCACACTAATCCTAAATGCAAAGAATTGCATTCACTACTCAGGAAGACAAGCATGTGTCACAGCGCCTGCTTCACCACTGCTTCACAATCTGATGAATTGGCCTTCTCCATAAGAATTTAGTTTGTTTTTGTCAATTCCTATTATATTTCCCTTGTGATTCTTCTCTTATTATTGTCTATCTTTAAATTTAACTTTGCTGTAATCAGCACTTCCCTTGTTTTCTTGAATTTCTTCTTTTTTTCTTCAAAAGGATTAAGGAATATTTAATATAAAGTCTATAATGCTTACTTTCATATTTCAATGCTAATTTAATCAAAGATAAAATCACTTGGTATTGTTGGAGAAGTCTACATAAATAATAGAAGTGACATTTCAGACCCACATGTAATAACACAGTCCCCACATCATTTGCATGGGTTATAAAAATGTTTTCTTAATATATTCCTCTTGCTCCTCTTCTCAATCTCTGATAAATTACCTTTTGCTATTACTGACAATGCTTCCCAGTAGAATAGATACAATTTGAGACACCTTCATTTTCAAAATAGATGGGAAAAATGTCACCCAAAACAAACCCCTAAAAAAACAAAACTGGGGTGATTAATCAAAGTACCTGGAATCAATGGAAAATTTATTTCATTAATTAAAAATAGCTTAATATTCCTATTATTACAGCGATATTTCCTTAGGCAATTTGGAAGTGATCTGAAAATTATAGAAGTGGATTATGGCACACGTATCTATCTATTCTCATTACTGAAATTTAGATATCAGAAGGCAACTCATAGCTTATATTTCTCAGTAGCTAACTAACAGCATAGTAGTTTTTACTACAACTGATGAAAGGGAAAGTATGGTAAACTGAATGCATGTAACAAACATGGGAGGTCGTAATATGTTTCCAGGAGATGGCATATTGCCATTGACCACAGCCCCTTGGAACAAGATAAAGTCATTGAAATAGTTAACAGATGTTAGCCGAATTTGAAATATAAAAGTTCTATTGCTAAAAATTATGTAGGGTCAGATGCAGATTTGGCTCTTGGTCCATAACTTAACTGACTTGGCAAATGGAAAGTTGAGATCCAGAGGCATAATGCATAATACTGAGCCCACACACTTTGCACACTATGCAGGAGCTCATAAACTACCGACAATATGTACACTGTACTAAACCAGCTTGATTAAGTATTAACATGGTATTTGATACTTAGGGAAATCTGAAGTCAATTTTCACGTCTACTAAATTAAAAAGTTATTTCTAAGAAGCAAAAAGTAGACTTTTTTTTCCAAATTCAAAAGCATGTCTATGAGTTTTATTATTTATCCTCAGCTTGCAATTTACCTGATGACTGGTATTGCTTTCCTCTGACTGCATAATCCATCCAGCAATGCTCATTTTACAAAGTATTTCTTTTTTCCACTCTTGTCCATTACTTCACATTTCAGAACAAGTTGACAGTAATGACTTTCAGATGAATACATGTAGTTGAAACGGATCTTCTCAACCTTAAGTTACAAATTCATTCAAGTCAAGCATTGAAGGAGGCTTGTGCTACTTTTGAGTTTGTGGTTTTATTCACAGCTTTGCAAATAAAGTCACCAGCTTCCATCACCTTGTAAAGGTTCACTCCCTGGTGAGGGAAAGAAAGGACAGCAGGAAGAAAGGGAGATTAGGAAGGAAGAAGACAAAACAGATTATTTTTTAATGTTATTAGTAGTTAGCCATTTAAAACTACTACACAAAATGTTTTTCATTATAAATTTTTGGGCAACATTTATTTTTCATAAGTTGTGTGGCTAGCATGTAAAATTTTTCTATATTATTAAACTATACCTTAGATCTTACACTCATATTAAACCATAAAATAACATCACTTGAATAACTCAGTGTAACTCAAGCTGGTTCAAATCACCAACCTTTAGGTTAGTAGCTGATCACAAACTGCCTGCACCAACCAAGCTCTTGCCTAAACTTTGTTGTTGTTGCTGTTATTTGCCATCGAGTCGGCCCCGACTCATAGCGACCCCTCCTTGCGTTTCCAAGGCAGTAGGATTGCCCAACCTTCCTTCCAAGGAGTGGCTGGTGGGTTTGAACTGCCAGCCTTCTGGTTAGCAGTCAAGTGCCTTATGCACTATGCTACCAGAGACTAAATTTTAGGAAAGACAATAAAAAAATAGAAACAGTATAGAAACCCTCAGAGAAGACAATTAACATGGTAATGCTTTGGAGGAATGTATAGATAAGAACTGGTTTAGGAGGAAAAAAACATCTCTTTACCCTACAAAGAAATAAACTTGATAAAGCCAAAAAGAATGCTCAAAAGGTGTATGCATATATGTGTTTTCCATGTTCAGAAACACTATATCTGACATAATACTAAAGAAGGTAGTTGCAGGTCAAATAAAATGAAGTAGTATTTAGTACACATCTGGAACATGTTTGCCTGAGTAGTTGTACCATCTGAAAGCATAAATAGGATCAACAAAGGCTTAGGTAAATCCATGGATGACAGATCTGAAGTTGGATATAAAGGCCAAATTCAGGGCTTCTTGTAACTTGGTGTAATGGAAGGTCACCATCAAGGTCCTCATCCAGCACCTCTGCTGTCACTGACAGAGGCAGAGTATTAGGTGGATTAAATAGAGATTTGCCCCAGGTTGCATTTCAAAAACTGCTATATCCTCCCTCAAAACAGACAGAGTCACTGTGGGCTTAAAACTGAACAGACTCAGTCATCCTTGTTATGAAAGAATAGCTTTTAATATTTATATAAATCTATCATTTTTTTAAAAAAATAGTCAAGTATACATACTCATAACAATGACCTTAATTTTAGAAATGAAAAACATTTAAATACAACTAATCCCTTCTCTCTAGAAATTTTAGGGTACTGTCTTCTTTGTTCATCAACTTCTTTCTCTTTATTTAAGAATGACCAAGGAAAATATTTTGTAAATGGACACTTGTAAATGATTTTCATGATTTATTTTTATTGTAAAATTGTTCTCACTATGCGAATATTTGCTTTTGTTTGTGAAATTCAGTTTTGCCAGTAAAATGGCCTCAGATGGAGTATTTGTTTGGCACATTTGAGTTTAGTATTATTAATCTAATGATATTTAAATCTTATAAATAATTAACTAGAAATATTTCAATTATGAATGAGCACCTAGCAGGGTATCCTAGGAGGATTTTAGTCCCAGCAGTTATCTTAATTTTTCAAGAATTATATTTATAACAATCATGCAATGGATTTTGTGAAAATCATACAAAAAAGAATTTAATTTTGGCTTTTTTCTAATATTTTATTTAAATAATAGGTATCATTATAAAACCACATTGCATTTATTATTAAATCATTTATCAGGTACTTAAATATATTTCATATACTAGATTTTTCAAACCCACCAGCCACTCCTTGGAAGGAAGATGGGGCAATCTACTTCCGTAGTGATACTGCCTTGGAAACCCAAGGAGGGGTCGCTATGAGTCTGGTCCAACTCCATGGCACATAACAACAACACAACAACAAGAATAGATTTTGGGATTTTTAAAACATCAAGTAGAAAATGGCTCCTCTTCTCAGGAAATGTATGGTCAAACAGACAACATGGACATATAAATAGAAAAGCTTGTCCTGTAGTTTAAGCCATTACTAGACATATGCCCAGGTGATCATGGAGGCAGAGTTGTGGGGCAGTCAACTCAGTAAGGAAATGATGGTGGAGAGGCGTGTGTCAAGGAAAGTTTCCAGGAAAGGTCATGAGTCTTATATGGAGAGTATGAGTCATTGAGAGGAAAGAGGATGGGAGGAACAATTATAGGCATAGAGAAGAGCAGTACAAGATGTGAGAAACATCACAGTACATGTGGGAAATGATGAACAGAAACAATTGAGAAAGAATAAATAGAGCAGATTATGTGATAAGGCATTGCCTTGTATTTCAGGAAATGAGAATCTGTTGATGAGTATTCAAGCAGAAGTATAACATATTCATATTTGCATTACACATGAAATCTTCTGATGGTAGTGTGGAGGATGAATTGTAAAACAAGTCTGGAGCCCAACAGACCAGTGTGGAGGCTGAATGCCTAGGAAAGATATAAGGCCTGTGTTGATGCAGTCATAGTAAGGATAGTAAGGTCAAACTTCAAAAATATTTAAAAGCCAAGTCAGTGGCTCTTGAAAATTGACTAGACAAGGGAATCAGATTGACATTGAATTCTACAGTAACTAGTTGAAAACTGGCTACTACTAAATGTAACAATATTTAAACTATGAAATTCTTACTAAAGAAGACATGATTTATTTGCATGTGTACCCCAAGTCATAGAACATGGCCTGGCAAGTATCAGCTGTCAGTTGAATCTAGTTTAGTAATCTAACTCTTCAAGAAAGAACCCGTATCTCTTCAGTTTCTGTCCTGGCCAGGCACTTCTAAAATAATTAAGGTATTCTGTAAATTAAATAATATTTATTTCTCATCAGAGAAGATAGGCAATAGTTTTTGGGTTTTAGTGAAAGTGAACCCGTTTTTTCAATAACCATTTATGGAGCATCTCTGTGCAGGTTGAGTCCACCAGCCACTCAAAGGGAGAAAAGACCTGATGATCTGCTCCTGTAAAGATCTCAGCCTAAAAAAAAACCCTATGGGCAGCTCTACTCTTCCAAGGAGTGGCTGGTGGGTTTGAACCTCCAGCCTTCTGGTTAGCAGTCAAATGCCTTAGGCACTATGCCACCAGAACTCCTAGAGTATATCAAACAATAACAATAAATCATCTGTAGATAGTATGCTTGTCTTTTACATTTTTCCTATTAAACAATAATTTGTCCTATAGATTAACAAGTTATGTTTACAAGCATGTTACAAAGCAAAGTGCTGATTTTGGTGGAAGTTATTATAGAACATAAGGCTTTCAGGTACTAATTGTAGACCATTCTTGCCATCTAATGTCTCACATACTAAAGTATTAGTAAGTGCAGCTCTTCTACTGACCATTTCAAAAGTGCTCTTGTATCTGTTCCAGAGGCCCTATTGGACAGTGTAAGAAAATCAAGATCTCAGACTCCTCCAAAACAAACATCCATACAAAAATCCAAAACTGCAAAAATCAGCAATCATAACAGCAATGACACAAGCTCTGGTCCATAAAGCTAAATCAGATATAATGTGAAGAAGTACTTTGGAGGCCACGAAGCACTATAAAAGTGTTAAATAACAACATTACTGATAATTGAGTTAAAGTACAAAGTTCTTTATAAAGCCTCCCCCAAATAATTTCCAGGAATTCATTGTATTGCATTTTCCCACTGTGTATTTTAGCAAATATCAAAAACACAGTAAAACTTTGACCTCAAAATTGCTTCCCAAATCTTGTGAAACCTTCCAATTTGAGCTTCAAGGAACTATGGATATTGAAATATGTAAAAGTAACTTACTGTATTGAGCCCCAGTCCGTTAAGCATATATATCAAATCCTCAGTGGCTACATTCCCAGAAGCACCTTTTGCATAAGGGCAACCACCTAATCCAGATACTGCAGAGTCCACCACATTAATCCCCATCTGGAAAACAAACCAAAACACCTAAAGCTTGTGTATTTATGGCATGTAAATTGTTGAATTTCCATTTAACCTATGTTGTTGTTGTTATGTGCCATCGAGTCAGACCCGACTCATAGCGAGCCCTCCTTGGGTTTCAGAGGCAGTATCACTACGGAAGTAGATTGCGCCATTTTCCTTCCGAGGAGTGGCTGGTGGGTTTGAACCGCCAGCCTTCTGGTTAGCAGTCAAGTGCCTTAGACACTATGCTACCAGAGCTCCCATAGTGTAGTGGCTAAGGCACTTGACTGCTAACCAGAAGGCTGGCGGTTCAAACCCACCAGCCACTCCTCGGAAGGAAGATGGGGCAATCTACTTCCGTAGTGATACTGCCTCGGAAACCCAAGGAGGGCTCGCTATGAGTCGGGTCTGACTCGACGGGCATATAACAACATTTAACCTATAGCAAAGAATAAATGAGCAAAATGTAAACCCATTGTTCAAACTTATTTACATACACACTAGATGCTAGCTAGCACAGCCCTTGTCTTCGATTACAAATAGTTGTTAGATCTTGTGCTAACAGAAATGCTGCTAGTATAAAAGATTATAGATATTTGCAGTTTAAGAATTAGAATGGAATTAGAATAATCTTAGATAAAAATAAAATGGTGTGATTCATTGATACTAGTAGGTGGTGGAGCATAAAATAAATTCACTTGCAGGTTTTATATATTCTCCAATAAATTCTATGTTGTTGTTGTTATGTGCCATCGAGTCGGCCCCGACTCATAGCGACCCCTCCTTGGGTTTTCGAGGCAATAAATTCTATAGGATTATCCTAAAAGTATTACATAACCAACATGAGATATCCTCATCAATTCAATTCAAGTTCAAGATGCCTTAGAAGACTAGTGAACATCTCTGGTGGGAGGGTGGGGGTTATTGTACTTGAAATTTGGTTCTAAGTGATCAATTCATTCATTCAATTAATTCACTCTTTAACGAATCATTATTTTTCACACAAAGCTCTGCTACTTTGGGAGAAAAAAGTGAAGAGACAATGTAAAGGCAAGGTAACTACTACTAATGATAACACTAGCTCACATTTCTGGGTCCTTACTAAGTACCAGATACTATTCTTAATGGTTTAAAGGTAATAATTTACGATTCTCAGAAAAAAACCCATGATGTGGATACTCTTATACCATCACCAAATCGCAAATGAGGAAATTCAGGTACAGAGGAGTCAAATGATTGTCCAAGGTTACTATCTGGCAGGCAGAGTCCTCTGACTCCAGGGTATTCATGCTTTGGCATCCAGAAATAGTCAAATTGGTACAAGATTATGTGGTTGGGGATGTCAGCAATGGAGGAGATGAGTGCGTTGAATGAGTTATGAAAGACATGAACACAATGGAGTCTGAGAAGTGCTCTGGAAGCATTTTTATAGAATAGCTGAAAAGCAGAGGCAAATTATAACATTTCTCAACTGTGAAAAGTGACAGTTTAGCTGATGTTTTTCTCATGATTAGACTGGAATTATGGGATTTGGGGAGGAACACCATAGAGATGAAGTGTCATGTTAATCATATCTATCAAATATATATGCTATCAATATGACTTCTTACAGGTAATACTAACCCTGATCACCTGGCTGACGTAGTTTTTCCAGGTTTCTCAACTCTAAAGTTCCACTCATTCTACCCTCCTACCTCTACCAAGTTTCCAAACCTTTTGGAAGGAAGTCACTATGCACAAATCATTCTTAGGTGATAAGGAATATCTACAAATAATATTTAGAGTTTTGTATGGAAAATTTGTTTATTTCTTTGTAACATCCCATACTACTTTGCTCAAATTGTTTCAGCATTGGCTATTGGGAGCTCTTTCAGTTGGCTTCCTTATCTCCTTGACATGCCAGGGGACTACATTTTTTCAGCCACTCTTAGATTTTTCCTTGAAAGACTTGGAAGAGATTTACAAGAGCAACACTATAGCCCAAATAGCCCTGGGAGTCTTTGGGGCCTAGGACAAGTTTATAAAATACAGATTGTTTGTTTATACAACTCAATTTTTCCTCATTATACTCCCTAACTTGGGAAGGTACCAACGGCTTTTCTTTCATTACTATATTCTTTCTTAAATAATGTTCTCACAGACTCAATTATATTCAGGTGCTAGAACTGACCAGCTAGGCCACTGGCCCATCGAGCATAATATTTATTTTCTATGAGTCAAAATAATAAGTATAAGAAATTATGTTCTACAGTGAAATTTCTGGTATTGCCCAGTACTCAGAAAAGACAAATATTAAGACACTAGTTCATTTCTGGTGTCTGCCATGACATCAAATAGATATACTCTCTACTTATGGGTGAAAACAGATCTATTCAGTGAAATTGATCCTGTTGCCTGAGGAGACAGAAGTCCCAGTGACTTTCTATCTCAGCTACCCATTAGAAGTATCATCTTGGGCTGTTTTGAAAATACTAACATTCAAGCATCTTCCCAGGCCAATTAAATCAAAATCTTGGGACAGAGCCAAGCATTTGTATTTCTTAAAAGCACTTCACTGGTGATTCTTATGTGTAAGTAGCTTTGAGAGCATCTGAGACAAAGGATTTCTTTTGTCTCTCTTTTTTTTCTTTTAAATCAATTCTGAATGTGAGTTAGCTTTAACTTTAGATAAGTTCTGTTCTCTAGAGCAACAAAGTGTTAACTGGTCAACATTTTAAGAGAAACAGTTTTTGAAAAGTCAGAGGTACCAGCATGGTAGTCAAAATACTACTTCAGTCCACTGCTGTGGCTGACTGGCTCTTGGGGCCTGGAATCTAAGTATCATGTTCCTTTTCTCACTACTGAGGATGAAGACTCCACAATTAAAGGAGCCCCAAAAGGGGAACATGCTGCCTTGTCAAAGAGCATAGTTTTTAGTCTTAATTGGCCATCTGGGAGTCAGTGAAGAAACAAGCCACTCTTCTACTTTATAACTAAAGGCCAATGTGACCTATTGAATGGCCAAAAAGGTAAAAGGTTTAATCACAATAGAGCAGCTAGGATCATAAAACGAAAGTGATAAATAACTACTGTCAACAAAGAACAACCATAAATAACCACTGAAGGTAGGAAAACCCATTCAATTTCACATCAGATTGTTGAGTAAAAACTCTAACACTATGGTATTTTACACTTTCAGATTGACATTAAAAAAGAATGGTGACAATAAAATTGTACAGAGCAATGAAAAAGCTACAAGTGCACCAACAATACAGACAAATCTCCCAAGCAAAGGGTTGCATGAAAGAAGTGAGGCTCAATAGAATACAAGTCATATGATTCCATTTTATATAAAGTCTTATAATAGACAACACTAATTAATATTGATAGAAATTAAAATAACAGTGACCCTTGGAAGCTTGAATGAAAATGGGCACATAGGGAGCTTCTTGGGTGCTGGCAACCTTGCATTTCGTGACTGAGTTGTTGTTGTTGTTAATGTGCCGTCGAGTTATCTCCAACTCATAGCGACCCCTCCTTGGGGGCCTCGGAAGGAAGGTGGGGCAATCTACTTCCGTAGTGATATTGCCTAGGCAATCCAAGGAGGGGTTGCTATGAGTCGGGTCCGACTTGACGCCACATAATAATAACAACAACATCTCTAAGGAAGTAGATTGTCCAACTTTCCTTCCGAGGAGTGGCTGGTGGATTTGAACCACTGACCTTCTGATTAGCAGTCAAGTGCCTTAGGCACTACACCACAACTGGTTGGTTACCAGTCATATCAATTTGTGGAAACTAATTGAGGTTATTATTTGTGTGCTTTTGTGATTGTGCATTATATTTCAGTAAATATCAATGACAAAAGAAGTAGTGTTGCTGGAGCTGATGACAAACAGCAAGCATAGTAAACTGGTAGGAAAAGAAATTACATTTTTTTTTCCTGGTGAGCAATTAATTACTAATTACTCTTAAATTGCAAATACATTAACTCAGCAGTGTCTCATCAGTTTTTTTCATGGGAATATTTCATGAATCCTAAGTAAATAATTGTGTAAGAAAATCTTCAAAAAACTAACTGATCTCCCTATGGTTCCAAACTGCATAGCTAATATGCAGACATAATCTGGAAAGGCAGACAATTTCTAAGTCTGTCATAATTTCATCTTTTAGTCTGTTGTACTGTGGTTGTTTGCATGTTATTGTAAGGCTAGAGGCTATTCTGCTCTAGCAGAATAGAGGAGAGACAACGCAGAGACGCCAGAGTAGCAGGCCGGAAGAGCAGGAGAA